GTTCGTGAAACGAATGCGATACCCCCTAATAGCCCACACACTTAGAGGCGTGTGGCGCTAGTTAACCGATTGCAACATTGTTGCAATCGGTTATTAGAGGCTCTCCTGGGTGGCCGTCGTTCGACTACCGACCATGCGGCGGTCGGCCATCTTGGATCCCTGGTTCGTCAGCGGGTCCGTGTCGTCGAACGCATAGCATTACCAACAGTTATTCGACGGCACGAACACCGCTAAGCCTCCAGGACGTTCGGGAGTTTCAGGACCAGGTTCACTAAAAGCAATCGGTTCTTTTCATGTGTTTTGAAAGAAATGTGTTTTCTGTGCGGCGTTCGGTTATTTTAGCTGGGATCTGAGCGACAATCTCACGAATGATGCGCCCAGACCCCAGCTATCTACCGAACGTCCATTCGTGTAAATCCACCGTATATTGTACCAGCTGTAGATTTTTGTGTGAATTGCCGGTTTTGCTGCACGAGGGGATAATCCCCTTAACGGTGCATTCTGGGAGGATGATCCCTCTCGTGCAGCGGTGCCTGATGGGAGAAATATGTGGTACTGTAAGTCCCCCATGTAGTCCCCTCCTGTACAACCCCTGTAATGTCTGTTTGGAAACCCCTTGCATGGGGAATTGCATAAATACTGTGCCCTGTGATTAAAACCTCAGTTGACTCCCAGCCTATGTGTCGTCTAGTTCTTGGGAAGGAAGGGTTACTGCAGTGCTGTTTGGATTATTATATGCTGATTCCCTGGATTATCCTTTGTTGTTCCTGTTACCCCGCGGAGATATCGTGGATCATACTGCCTCTCCGCTACACAAGGCTTACACATTCATATTACTGAAAGCAATACGACGTCCCTCTGAACTCGCAGAGTCAATGGTTTTTATGGTTATTGTGAAATTTTTAACTGTTTCCACTGTTTATATAAAATATAAAAAGTTGACTGCATACACTTAAGCAACGCCACACCTATGAACAATGCATGACTGTTATGTATAATCTCCTCATTATGTACAATCATTTGTGTGACACCTTGCTTAATTTAAATTTCTGCACAAGCCTCGGTGTACTTCACTGGCTAACTCTTTTGTCAAAGCAAAAATAAAGCTAAAAAAAAAAAAGGGAACAAATGTTCTCAGTGAGCAGTTCAGAGGTTTTCCTAGGATGTATTTAAACTAGTAGGGGGGGCAAAAGGGTGATAAAACATCAGTCCAATTGCCCCCCAAAAACAAGGACAGAAGGTGCCTGCAGCAAGTGTGTTAAAAAATGATAAGCTTAGAGTCATGTCTACAAATGCTCGCAGTTTAGGGAATAAGATTAATGAACTTGTCGCAATAATGGCAACTGATAATGTAGATTTAGTCGCTGTTACTGAGACATGGCATAATGAGAAAAATGACTGGGACATAGCAATACCAGGGTACTCTTTCTATAGAAAAGACAGGGAAGGCAAGAAAGAGAAGGGGTGGCCCTGTATGTGAAGGATAGCATTAAATCTAGCCTAATAAAAGTTAGTGAGGCGAACATAGAGTCCGTTTGGGTTACGTTCGGATTTGGTAATCACACAGTAACTCATGTAGATGTGGCCCCCAGGACAAATAGAAGAGTTAGATAATCTACAAGTTGAGGAACTAGCTAAAATGAGAATGAAGGGGGAAGTTATAATCATGGGGGACTTTAATCTTCCTGATGTGAATTGGAAAACCAAAATAGTTGCTTGTGCCAGAAGCACACATATTCTAAACTCCCTGCTGGGATTATCTCTAAAACAATTCATTGAGGAGCCAACTTGTAAAGAGGCCATACTAGATTTAGTGTAAACAAATGGAGATTTGGTATCAGATATTACTGAAAGTTTAGGATCCAGTGTTCATCAGTCAATGTGGTTTAATATAAGAACAGTGACCGAGTCACACCACACAAAAACAAAAGTTTTAGACTTTAGAAAAACAGACTTTTCTAAAATTAGAATATGTGTAAAGGAGTCATTATAAGACTGGAGCAATTTAAATGGAGTCCAAGAGAAATGGGATTAAAAGTTCCACTACTGAAGGCAACAGAAAATTGCATTAGGCTTGTTAATAAAAGCAAAAAGTTCAAGAAACCACTGTGGTACTCAGCAGATGTGGCCAAAATAGTAAAAAACTAAAAGTTAGCATTTAGTAATTATAAAAAAAACCAGAGTGAGGAAGACAGAATGATCTATAAGATTAGGCAGAAAGTGGCTAAGCAAGTTATAAGAGCTTGCAAATCACACACAGAAGAGAAAATAGCACAGTCAGTAAAAAAAAGGGGACAAAACTTTTTTAGATACATAAATGAGAAAAGGAAAGTAAAACAAAGATTAGTTAGAGTAAAAACAAAAGAAGGAAGGTATGTAGAAGAGAATAAAGATCTAGCTAACTGCCTCAATGAATATTTTTGTTCAGTATTTACATATGAAAAAGAAGGAAAGTGACCTCAGTTAGGAAAAAGGACAAATTAGTCATTCGTTACATGTGAGTTTACAGAGGAAGAGGTTCTATTTCAACTGTCAAAAGTAAAGACAAATAAGTCAATGGGACCTGATGGAATCCACCCAAAGTTATTAAAAGAGCTTAGTAGTGTACTAGCAAAACCATTAACAGATTTATTTAACCAATCATTGTTAACAGAAGTAGTCCCAGAAGATTGGAAGTTATCGAATGTTGTGCCCATTTACAAGAAAGGTAGTAGGGAGGAGTCAGGCAACTATAGGCCAGTAAGCCTTACTTCAGTAGTGGGGAAAGTAATGGAAACCATGTTAAGGTATAGGATTGTTGAACATCTAAAATCACATGGATTTCAAGAGACAACATGAGTTTAATTCAGGGAGATCATGCCAAACTAATCTTATTGATTTTATTGATTGGGTAACTAAAATAATAGATCAGGGTGGTGCAGTAGACATTTCTTACCTAGACTTCAGTAAGGCTTTTGACACTGTTGCACACAGAAGGCTTATCAATAAACTGCAATCTTTAAGTTTGGATTCTGTAAAGGATTACTCCATCACTGTTCAGCTAATTGCCATCACCGTTTGGCTATTTGCACTCCCTGCTATTTACTTTCCCCCAGTCATTCATTCTTTTCTTGTTCCATTCATTTAGTTGTTCGTTTTCCCCGAAACCGAGACCACCCCTGTGATTAATTAGAACGTGGAACACCATGTAGCAATCAGAAAACTGCAGACTAATTGAATGCTCCTAGGTCATTTTGTCTCCCGAACACGACCAGCGGGACCAGGTCGTTGAGTGTCTGGAACTGTTTTCGGCTATGCACTCTCACGAACACCGGTCTCTATGGAACTCTGCTATGTTCTATTTCCCAGCACTTTAGACAAACGGCGTTCGGGAGTTTCAAACTACCAAACACAAGGAGCATTCTTTACGGACCAGCACTATTTTACCTATTGCGGTTTTCAGACAAAAACCCACGAACGGAGACCCGGCTCTTGCTACATTTTCTCTGGAACTGTTTCTCGGCTCCAACCTCATGGTAGACCGGTCAACTCTCTCCACAGTGCCGTTCAGGAACTGCTGAATGGATTTGGCTGAAATGTGGATATGTTGCTCCCACAGAGACAAGATATACAGAGATATAACTTTTGTGGGGGTTTTATGTGTTTTGGGGGTATTTCTAGAAATCATGAAAATGTTAACTTTTTCTGACCAGAAGATAATTGAGTTTAGTATGTTCTCAAAACTCAATTATCTCGCTGGCTCAGAGGAGGAGTTATGTGATGTATAAATCACATTAAATCAGTCATGTCCCAGCATTAAGCTTTGGCTCATGTGTGGGTTATTATGCGACACCAGCGTTATTGGAACCTGTGCATTAATGGCATTATTACTTTTATGGGAAAAGGGAATGCAGGACGGTGATACCTACTCAGACCGTCACAACTGGTTGGCAGCGGCGGGATCATCTCTTTTTCCTACATTAAAAATCCAAGATGGGCACTGGTGTACAGTGAATTGAAGGCTTGTACACACAGCTTAAGATCAGCATGTTAAAGGAACTGTTGGGAGTTCGTGGAGGTACTGCCAGCAACAAAGCCAAGCGGGTCATAATCAGTGAACTGATGGAGCTAGACCAAGGGAACTTGGCTGCAGCAACCCTGACCATTTGGGAAAATGGAACCCTGATCAACAGGGAGATCAGGCAATGATTGGCACTGTTTGGGCCAAACCCATCTCCCGAAATCATCATGCAGGTGATCAACAATGTAACAGTAAGTGTGAGCGCAAGGGAACAGCGAGAGCTACAACTGCGTCTAGCTGAAAACCAGCGAACGGCTGCAATATCACTGAACAGAAGCAGCAACACAGTTGAATCGCGGAAGATTCCCATCAGCGCTTTTAAAAGTTTTTATGAAGCAGAAAGTGAACTTGATGGCTATCTTGATGGCTGCAGATGAATGGGTTCAGAGATAATTATCAGGAAAGCTATCAGGCAAAGCAGCAGATGCCTTCAGGGATGTTCTATACCATGAGATCCACAGCTATGAGCGGGTAAAAGAGGCGCTCTTGACCAGGTACGCAGTAACCCCTGAGGTGTACCGCAGAACATTTCGAGAATCCCGCAAAGTGGACAAAGATTCTTAAACAGAGTGGGCCTGCTGATTACAGCTGTCAGCATCCAACTGGATTACAAGTTGCCAAGCGACCACAGTCGATGACATCCTGCAGCTCATCCTATTAGAACAATTTTATAATCACATCCAAACAGACGTTAAGGAGTGGGTAAGGGACCATAGACCCCTCTCCCTTCCCGAGGCAGCCAGACTTGCGGATGAGTATACTGAAGCCTGCAAGGCGGATCGTCCTACACCCCGGATCCAACCACCCTGGACCGAGACATCAGTACCACCAGTGGTAGGGAGATACCAGGCGCTGCAAACAACTGGGACATCTACATAATAATTGTCCACTGGAAAGCCCCAGGTCCAACTGGACTCGGCCTGGGTTTTTCAACCCTCAGGCTGCTGCAGACTGCATGGATTACCTCGCACCCACTGCTTGGGACGCCAGGGAATTAAGCAAAGAGGAGCCTCTGGCAACGCTCCATGAAGTACATCTGGTCCAGTCAACCATCACTGACAACCAAAAACACCGTTGTCAGTTAGTGATGGTGAATGGAAAAACTGCCCAAGGCCTCAGGGACACTGGAGCCACCATCAAGTCCAGAGGCACTTGATTGACAATTAGGAACGTCCTGGGAAATCAGTTGCTTTCCGGGTAACCGGGGGAGCTATATATCGGCTACATTTTCTCTGGAACTGTGTCTCGGCTTCAACCTCGTGGCAGACCGGTCAACTCTCTCCACGGTGCTGTTCGGGAACTACCAAACAGATTTGGCCGAAATTTGGATATGTTGCTCACACAAAGACAAGCTACACTTTTGTGTTTTGGGGGTATTTCTAGAAATCATGAAAATTGTCACTTTTACTGACCAGAAGATAATTGAGTTTAGTTTATGTTCAACTCAATTATCTCACTGTCTCAGAGGAGGAGTAATGTGATGTATAAATTGAATGCCTGTGTTTCCATTAAACCAGTCTTGTCCCAGCATTAAACTTTGGCTCATGTGTGGGTTATTATGCGACACCAGCGATATTGGAACCTGTGGCTTATTGGCGTTATTACTTTTATGGGAGATTCCAATATTGTTGAATGGGTTAGGCAGTGGCAACATGACAGGCAACAGAGGGTTGTAGTCAACGGAATATATTCAAAGCATGGGCTTGTCACCAGTGGAGTACTTCAGGGATCTGTTCTTGGACCCATTCTCATTAACATTTTTATTAGTGATATTGCAGAAGGTCTTTATGGTAAGGTGTGTCTTTTTGCTGATGATACTAAGATATGTAACAGGGTTGATGTTCCAGGAGGGATAAGCCAAATGGCAAATGATTTAGGTAAACTTAAAAAATGGTCAGAGTTGTGGAAACTGACATTTAATGTGGCTAAGTGCAATATAATGCATCTTGGATGTAAAAACCCAAGGGCAGAGTACAGAATATTTGATAGAGTCATAACCTCAACATCTGAGGAAAGGGAATTAGGGGTGATTATTTCTGATGACTTCAAGGTAGGAAGACAATGTAATAGAGCAGCAGGAAATGCTAGCAGAATGTTTGGTTGTATAGGGAGAGGTATTAGTAGTAGAAAGAGGGAAGTGCTCATGCCATTGTACAGAACACTGGTGAGACCTCACTTGGAGTATTGTACGCAGTACTGGAGACCGTATCTCCAGAAGGATATTGATACTTTAGAGAGATCTGGTTCATGGATTGCTGGATAAAATGTACAAGGAAAGGTTAAAGGAACATTAACATGAATAGCTTGGAGGAAAGATGAGAGAGGGGAGATATGATAGAAACATTTAAATACATAAAGGGAATCAACACAGTAAAGGAGGAGAATATATTTAAAAGAAGAAAAACTACCACAACAAGAGGACATAGTCTTAAATTAGAGGGGCAAAGGTTTAAAAATAATATCAGGAAGTATTACTTTACTGAGAGGGTAGCCTTCCACCAGAAGTGGTAGAAATTAACCCGTTAACGCCATGGCGTTTAAGCCCACACACGTTTCCCCGATCCCTCCCAAACTGCAGATCACGGTGGGGGGACCTGCCTGGCAACCCAGGCAGGTCCCCTGTGGCCAATCCGTAGTGATCTGCAGTTTGTGATCGCAGTGCAGCCAGTCACTGCGATCACTGTTACAATGTGTCAGCCAATGATTTTAAATCACTGGGTGACACATTGTCTCTGCCCCTCTACTCACCTCACTTCAATCTGAGTGAGAGAGGCAGAGAGATCGTTGCTGGAGAGCCCTGTAGGAGAATGAATTGTTAAAAATAAAGAAAAAGTTTTTTTTTTTTTTTTAAGTAATTTTTTAACCCTTCCAGTGCTGGTCACAGCATTTAACACTGTGATCAGCCTGTTTAGGGATTTTAGTACATTTGTAATATAATTATTTATATATTTAGGGTCAAAAAATATTTTAAAATTTTTTTTGACCCTTTGTCAGCCGCAGCAACCCAAATCTCCCTTAACCCTTTCCCCGCTGCGGTGATCACTGTACTGTACAGTATCGCTACTGTACAGTATTGTACCAGTGATAACTGTGATCAGAGGGCTCTCTGATCAGGCTGACTTTTGGGGTGGGTTATTTTTATTAAAAAAGCAAAAAATAAGTGCTGGTCACAGCAGCCTAAACTGCGATCAGTACATTTATTTTATTTTTTGTGGGTTTTTGAGGGTGAGTACTAGGGTGTTAGGCAGGTAGGAATTTTGTAATTTCCCCCTTAGATTTTTTTGATAAATTTTGAGTAGTCCCCCCTAGATAGGCACGTCGCCATTCTGGCAGGCAGTGATAGTGACACTCTGCAAGACAGTGACACTATCACTGCCTCTGACATTGAGGCTATGACTGACTCCTCTAGTGATGGTGCCCCACCACCACCAAGAGGACGCTCAGTAAGCCCAATGCCAAATGGAGACTGGGTGCCCCCAAACCTGACGGCCCCAGATATTCCCCCATTTACAGTGACCCCTGGCATCACTGTTATGGTGGATGCTTGGGAGCCCCTAAAATATTTTGATTTGTTCATGTCAGAGGAAGTATTTCAGTTATTGGTTGAGCAAACCAATTTATTTGCCAACCAATATCTGACTGTGAATCCGGGGTCACATTACAATCGGCGTAATATGTGGCACCCCACGGATCTTGCAGAAATGCGCAAATTTGGGGCCCTAACTCTAGTTATGGGCATTGTCAAAAAGCCAAGTATCAGGTCCTACTTGTACAAGCACCCCATCCTGGCTACCCCTCTTTTCTTTGGGGTTATGAAGAGGGATCGATATGAGCAGCTGCTGCGTTTCCTCCACTTCAACGATAACACACTGTGCCCCCCAAGAAACGACCCATTGTTTAACAGGCTGTACAAAATTCGGCCCCTAATTGAACTCCTGTCAGACAAATTCTCTCAAAAATATGTCCCTGAATAAAATATTTGTATAGATGAGTCCTTAATGAAGTTTAAGGGTAGATTACTTTTTAAGCAGTATATCCCTTCTAAACGGTCCCGATACGGTGTAAAATTATACAAATTGTGTGAATCCAAATCTGGATATACATGGGCGTTTTGTATTTATCAGGGGAAGGATAGCCATCTTGAACCACCAGGATGCCCTGATTCTGTGGGTACATGTGGCAAGATAGTATGGGACCTAATCCTTCCCTTGTTAAATAAGGGATACAGGCTATGGGTTGACAACTATTACACAAGCATAGAGTTATTTAAAACTCTATTTTGCTTTGAGACCGTAGCCCGTGGCACAGTGCGTAAGAATTGTAGAGGTTTCCCCCAAACCCTGGCAAGAGATAGACGCAGTAGAGTCTCCCTTTCAGCGCTCCACCAGGATGAGTTGCTTGCCCTTCGCTTCACCGATAGGAAAGATGTGTACATGTTGTCTACAATGCACGACGAAACTTCAGTGCTAGTGACTGTGAGGGGTGGAACTGAGCAGCTGAAGAAGCCGAAGTGCATTGTACACTACAGCAAGTTTATGGGGGGAGTAGACTTTGCTGATCAGTGCATACAGCCCTATCTGGTGAACTGGAAGAGTAGGATCTGGTACAAGAAAATTGCAATCTAAATAACCCAGATTGCAATTTTCAATGCCTATGTGCTTTATAAAAAGGAAGCCATAGGTAGACCATGCCCATTTTTAGAGTTTATGGTCCAAATTTTGTCTCAAATTATATTTGCCTAGACCCCAAATCCTAACCCTCCTTTGGAATCAGTAGATGTCCAATGACTTTTCAGCAAACATTTCCCTTCCAGAATCCCCCCCACACCCTGTAAAAGGTCACCCCAATGAAAATGCTGTGTTTGCTGGAAAAGAGGAGTCCGAAAGTACTCCAGTGATTATTGCCCCTCCTGTCCATCCCTACCCGCCCTCTGCATAACAGACTGTTTCAAAGTCTACCATACAGAGCTGAACTACTAAATCACTCTCTATGGTACTTTGGCAGTTTGTTTGCTTGATTTCCCTGGATTCCCTGACCTCAGCTTGTCCTGACTATGCTTCGTTAGCTGCCTGTACCGACCCACCGACTACTCTGACTTCTGGATTCCCCTGACCTTGGCCTGTCCCTGTTTATGCTAGCCATTCTAAAGTCGCTACGCCAAACAACTCAAAATACTACATTTGTAGTACTTGAAATGTGTCTTCACAAAAAAAGCAAAAAACTAATCACAGGGTTAATGCTACAGTATCTGAGTCAAAGATCTATCTGCCTCTCTCTGCCTTCAGATCAAAGTGTATGTGGGGGTACTGTCCTATTCCTGTGATATTGTAAAAACCTGGAAACATTGTATATGAAGGTATTGTTATATTTAGAAGACAGTGTTAAATCAAAATACTGATGTTTTAGTGCACTAACTAATACCAGGATTATGACATTTCTAGTGAAAATGCAAAAATAAAAGTAGAAATTGCTACATGGGCCCATCATTTCTGTTAAAATGGCTAGACCAAACATCTCAAGGTCTGCCATTTGTTGTACCTTGGGTTGCCTACTTTTGAAAATGGTATGTCATAACGGTGGAAATGTTATTACCCAGGCTGCCATGCTTTCTAACTAGCCACACAGGCCCAGCAAATCACTTTGTCAAATTTCCAACTTTGGAATATATTTGTCCCTGTGACTCCCCAAAAAAACAGAAAATCCGGTACAAGGGGGTACTGTTATATTCAGGAGACAATATTCAAAAAATATAGTGAGGCTTTGTTGCAATAACTCATACCAGGAATAGGAAATGTCCTGTGAAAAGTGAGTTCATGTGTGGAAAAAAAGCACAAATAAAACTATTACCGCTATGTGGGCCTTTCATTTCTGATAAAGTGGTTAGATCAAACATCTTAAAATGCACCGTTTGAAATACTCTGGGTTGTCTACTTTTGAAAATGGTATGCCATAATAGTGGAAATGTTATTACCCAGGCTGCCATGCTCTCTCAAAGGCAAGATAGGCCTAGAAAAAGAGTAAATTTGACCCTGTAACTTTCCAAAACCCCATAAAACCTATACATGGGGGATACCGTGGTGCTCGTGAGACATCACTGAACAGAACTAGGAGTGTTTCAGGGTATTAAACTATATACTGAC